AGGTGTCAGCTGTGATTTTGTTCTCCCAGTCCGGTGTTCTCCTTGTATCATGGCCGCTTCCTCGTGTTCTAGTGGCATCTGACATCACTCCCTAGTCCTGCCCCTCTGGCAGGCAGGGGAGAGGGGAATCTGTCCTCTGCTTCCTGTGTCTATGCAGGCGGGCGGAGTCAGCCAGCTGGGGTGGAATTTGTTGCCACCTAACGCTTGCCGTGTATCGGTAAGCAGGCGGGCAGGGGGAGGAGCCTGGTCAGGCCGGGAGCTTGTAAGAGGCGGTTGGTTCCCGGCAAGCGTCTGGTTGCTAGGCAATAGATAGTCCATGGTCCCATCGTGCTGCAGTAGTCAACGGGTGGCAGTTGTAACAATCGTGAGCTAAACAAGAGACACCGGCACTCCAAATTTGCAAAATATGTCTATTTATTGACGTGCATCGTGGTAAAAAACAACGAACGTTTCGGGGTCACAAAGGATCCCCTTCATCAGGTAAAACATACAGTGATCTCTCTTCCCACATCGTATCGTGGTAAAAAACAACGAACGTTTCGGGGTCACAAAGGATCCCCTTCATCAGGTAAAACATACAGTGATGTATGTTTTACCTGATGAAGGGGATCCTTTGTGACCCCGAAACGTTTGTTGTTTTTTACCACAATGCACGTCAACAAATAGACGTATTTTGCAAATTTGGAGTGCAGGTGTCTCTGCTTTAGCTCATGGTTGCTAGGCAATGACACTGGTGGCCTATTTAAAGCACCGGCCCTCCTCTTCCGGTCCCCTCTGTGTTTGACAGTACAGCTGACTTCCTTTCTGGTCGTTCTGAATACAGGTTAGTAGGCGATGATTTTGGAGAACCATACCTCTTGTCCATATGTTCCTTGTCTCCTTATGTTATTTTTTGCCCCTGGTTCTGTTGTTTTGTATAGAGTGTTTTTTTCCTGGCAGCTGGTTTGAGAAATGAGCCCACATACCAAACCACTGAAGAAATCCAAGAGGTACAGTTAAAAAAAAAAAAAAAATGGAAAAAATGTCTAGATTTCTCCAGGCAAAATGATTTTCAACATTTGCACATGTCCTTTGATCATTCAGTTCACGAATGGTGTAGCTAGGATTCGCCCACCAAGAAGTTTTTTTCCAAAGTAGGATTTGATGTTAGTATTGAAGGCCTTACTTAATCTTCCTTTCGATCCAGTACAGTCATGCACCATGTGGCACCTTACCTTAAGGACTGCATTTTGTCTTGCCCTGACTTCAGTTGGAAGGGTATCGGTGCTGCATGCTCTCAGAACAGAATTGTGTTGCGCCCAGTAAACACGTTCTTGCAGAAGGTGTTGTCAGATTTCCATTGTAACTGGGAGATCGAGTTCAGACAACACAATCTCATCGCTCCAATTCCATCTCCATGTGCACATGTCTCACCAAGAGTAGGCCAAAAGCTGCGCTCTCACTTCCCACACCACCAACACCTCTTACGTGTTTCACCGCCTGGGCTTAATCATTGAGGTGGGAGATTTGTCTTCATTTGATGCGGTGGATCTTCCAGAGGAGGAGCAGGAGTGAAAAGTTGTATCTGGTTCACAGTCTTTCAGTCTACCTGGAGAGTTTGGCTCAGTTTGGAAATTTTAAAACTGAAACGAAATCGAAATAAAAAAAATTGTCAGGCCGAAGCCGAAACCGATACCGAAAAAAAATGTATTTTAATTTTTTCAAATATTTTATTTTTGTTTATTTTTTATAAATGTTTTAATTCGATTACTGATCGCTGAGTGTTTGTACCTTGCTCTCCTCTCTGACACGCTGTCACAGGAGGCTGATGTAGGGAGCGGTGTAGGGAGGAGAGCACAGCCTCCTGGGACATCGCGGCCTGTCTCCGCCCATACACTCTGCCGGACCGTGATAGGCTTTCACACTTTCTCTCCTCCCCGCTGGGACACAGAGAAGCACCCAGCGGGGAGGAAAGAAACCTGGGATGCGCCGATGCATCGGCAGGAAAATGACACTTTCGGCATTATGCCAAAAGTGCAATTTTCGGCCGATATGTTTCGGCGCATGCCTAATATACAATATATATGTATATATATATAAAAATATTTACATATTTGAGCATGACAAGTATCCTGTATTACTCTGTTCAGTGCCACCATTGTTTTGCTTGTTCCATCAGTTTCTGCGGAAAGGGTTAACATGCTGGGTCATTCGTTCTTTACCCTATCATTTTCCACCTTCAGCAAAAGGTAGTTCTTCCTGCCATTGCTTCATTTGCAAGGGAACTGCAGTTATTGCCTAAGTTTGTTCTACAGTGACTCAGTCACCTCTGCCCATTATATACCTGTCCTGGTGTCAGCAGCTGGTTTATGAGTACCCAATGTTTCTTCTTTGTGTGTTTATATAAGTCTCCTCCGTTGCAGCTAAATATGTAGGATATCAAATGGAAAGGTAGTGGTTCTGTTAGCATCTCCAGCTCTTGATCCACTAGCAGCTCTGGGGCCGCTTGTAGTGCCCCTCCTCAGGGACCTGAAACCAATAGCCTTGATCACTGTCCCCTGCTTGAATCCACTCTATATTTAGAGTCTCTCTTAGCCTCTTCAGGTCTGGCCTCTTCCTCTGCCTTATCTAGGGAGGTGTTTTCTACATCTATGCTTCATTTTTTGAACAAAATCACTTCCATGATATCTGACTCAGTATGCAGGGGCAATAAGCCTACCTCTACGCCTACCCTTCCTGAGCCTTTACTGGACATTTCTGCAGCTGTGGCTGCCTCTGAGCCTTCTGCTGTGAATGGGCTGTTGGATAAAGAGTCTCAAAAATATGTGTTGAATGAGTTTGTACTTGAGGAGCATCAGCCTGCTAATATAGCTCCCAAACTTAAAAATACCATGTTGAATCTTATTGACTTTTGATTGTAGATGGAACAAGCAATATGTCCAAGGAAACAAACTATCCTTACTAAGCATTCATTTATTAAGTACTTAGAGCTTAGGCTTGCTGCATTACACTATTGTGTTGACAGGTTAGTGGATATCATCTATGTCACTCCCTGTAAGTTTTCTGTCTGTTAATATGTGAAGAATACTTTGGCTAAAATGTTGGTCTTATGAATAACAATGCAAAACATTCTTACTGCATATGCCTTTTGATGAAGAATGTCTCAATGGTGCTTCTTAGGACAACTTTATTAAAGATGTAATTGGCAGTGTAAAAAAAACCTTTTATTTCAACAAAAGAAGCCTAGGGCTTCTTATGGTTCCTGTAATACGGAACCAGCTTATTGTTCTACCATTTCTAGGTGACTCGGACAGATCATCATTCTGTCCTATAACTTTAAAGACAAAGTACCACGTTTTACTGTCAAGGTGCACTATACTAGGTTTGTAAGTGCTTCTTGGGCTTTTCAGCAGCAGCCATATGTTTGTTAGATTTGCAAGGCTGCCACCTGGTCTTCTGCTCATACATTTTGTAAGTTTAACCAGGTGGATGTTCAGGCCTCAGTTGATGCATGTTTTTGACATACGGGCATCCTTCAAGCAGGCTGTTCCCAGGTTTCACAATGTTGTTATGTGGGCGTGTTAGTGTTTTACTGTTGTTGCCCCCCTCAGTTGGATTGCTTTTTGACTTTCCAGTTGTCTCTGAATTACTTCTGATCCCTCAATGAATGAGAGAAAAAACATGTTTTTTATGTACTCACTGTAAAAAACATTTCTTGGAGTTTATTAAGGGACACAGAGGGCACAGGTTCCACCCCTTTGTGTTTGAGATCTACTCCTAATATTTCTTTCTACAAAACTTAATCATGGTGGGAGTGGAAGGGTTTTACCTGAGTGCCTAATAGCTTTTTTTGCCAGTATCTAATTCCTTGTGTAGATGACAGTATAACCCAGTTGTCTCACTCACCACTCCAATTCCACCTGACTGCACATCAATATAGACATCGGGTACAAGCTGCAGTGGGCTCCCACTTGTCAAACAATATCTCTCCAATCAGCCGCACAAAACCGAGGTCCATAAAAATCTAGCATTATTGTTGTGAATTCCATGTAAAGTTTAAAATATGTTTCACCATCTTGGCTTAATCATAGAGGTGACATGACTCTATGAATAAAGCCCAAACAGTGAGACGCATGAAAGGCGTTGGAGTGGTAGAGATACTATGGTGGTGTATACCTTGTATTTGGAACTTTACATGGAATTTACAACAATTACGTTGGATCATTATGGACCTTGGTTATCGTGTGACTGATTGGAGAGATACCAGTTGTTTCTAAATTACTTTTGACCCTGTGTCTCTTAATGAGCTTCAAAGTACGGTAAGTACAAAAATCCTTTTTTTTTTCACTGGTCAAACTTTACAGCTAACTTTAAAATAAATAAATAAGTATTTTCTGATGTAATATGTCAAACAGTTTTCTTTTTTATCTGCGTATTACTAAAACAGTTTTGCATGTACTGTGTGCTATGCAATGAATATCACATCTATAAATATTAAACAGCAGCATCATGCAAAAATACTTTTGGATGCCAAACTATCCCACTTCGACATATTTGAATGTAATCTCTGTTGCAGGTTACTTAGTTATAGGAAATCACTCAAGTAAGTTGACCAAAGTTGTTTTTTTTCCCCTTCTATTCTAAGCCTGTGGATTTAATAGTGTGATGAGTGTTAATGTATGGTGCCTTTTCATGCATATACAAGGACAACCTGCGTATAAATCATAAAAGCATGACTAATTGCATGGTAACTGGAGAAATGCTTTGTCTCTCTCTAGGGTGAAACTTGCATGTGTGTGTTTTAGCTTGAGAAGTCATTCTGAGATATTTACACAGGCTGAAAACTCATGTTATTATGAGAATTAGACAGACGTTGAACTTGTAAGCTCCGGTCTGTATAGCAAAGATGCACGTAAAATAGTGTTACACGTTATCACGAAACCAAATATACGATTATTCCGGGCTTGGTGTTATTGTGAGGCCAGTACAGGGTGTAATTTAATCTTGTCCTTTCTGCCTAGGCCTGTGAGTAAGAAAGCGTTCCTGCAGCATGTTGAGGAGCTATGCGCCAATAACAACGTAAAGTTTCAAGAAGAATTTTCGGTATGTTCCTAACAGTTGTCGCAACATCGCAAGGCCTCCAGTCATTTTCATGTGTCACATTTCATGTCCATTTTAAGAATTTGAGACCAGGAAAAACTGTGGCCTTGATAATCAATACCCAATTACCAGACTGATTGTTTAGAGGGTAATTTTACACTGATTTGGGTTTTACAAGATACATTGTACCAAAGAATAAATTACTTGGACAGGGCTAAAATTATCTTGGCTTATGTGATAGCTGGGTTTTATGTTTTAATAAAACACAGTGAGGGGGATTTATCAAAACAGGAGCAGACAAAATCTGGAGCAGCTGTGCATGGCAACCAATCATCTTCTATTTTTCATTTTCAAATCTTAACTGAACAAACTGAAGAGAGAAGATTTCTGCTCCAGTTTTGATAAATTCCTGCCAGTGTTTTTTTTTACTTTCTTCCTTCTACTCTCTCTTTGTATTTTGTATTATATGAGCAAGTGAATGTTGTCATTTTCATTCCATCCTGGGCACATGAGTGTGATAGGCAAAGGGAAAGGAAATTTCCTTTTTTTCCTTTTCCATTTTCCTTTTTTTTTTTTTTTTTATAAAAAAAAACAACAATTAAAACATTTTATAAAAATTGTGAAGAAAATACTGATAAAAATATTCATGACTAGTCGGACAACTTCTTTCCCTGATTTTTTACAGCGGAGATGTCAGGTCATTGGGGTTGATTTACTAAAGAAATACAGACTGTTTACTTTGAAGAGTGAATTTTTAAAGTCAAACTGTTTCATATAAATATAAAATATTATTTAGAAGCACCAGAGGCAGATCTCTGTTTCATCAGCTTCTTTAGGGGTCCTAAGGTGACATTAGGGGTCTTGGGGACCCATGATCTCTCCATAAAAAGGACCTGTCATTGTATATTGGCTATCACATATGGGGTTATTTATCCCCCTATGTGATATCAATCAAGTTAAGTGTAAAAAAAAAAAGTTAAAAAAAGTCTTGGGAGGCATGTATCAATGTCAAAATAATAAGAAAAAGCAACCACACTGGCAACACGATTACTATGTGCCCACCCTTTTATAGAAAGGGGGCTGGGTTATCCATTCCTTCAATTTTTTTGCACTTGTGACTGAATTGACTAGACGCAAAGGCTATGCACTGCATTATAGGTTGTTCCTTAATTCTGGTGGCAAGCCTGCAATGAGTTTACAATTTGTAAACTTTGCAAACCCATGCTAGCAGCAAACCCCGAATCCCATAACTATGCAGGTCTAATGATGTGTGGATCATTATTTTGCCATAATCAAGACTATTCACTTTAAAAGTTAGTTTACTTTTTTTCTATTTCCCTTGTTGTTTACATGCTGTCTTAATGAATAAAATCAATAATTAGTTTAAAAACCATTAGTTATTAGCAAAAATAATATACAATATATGAGGAGAAATGTATTTAAAAAGTTTTAAAATTAATTTAAAATGTAATTTTAGGTGGTATATTTGCATTTCCACCTATTCAAGTTCATAGTTTGCATTAAGGATGTTCAGATACCAGTGCCGATACTTGACATTTTCATGAGAACTACCAGGGTTGCAGCGGTTGCAGCTGGGACCTGGCTCTGGCGCTCCACCACTGTCCTCAAATCATTAGTCTGTATTGTTCTAAAAAAAACTGTCACATGACAATAAAGAAAAATGTATCAGTAATTGTATCTGTGAGTGCTTGGACAAGTATCAGTACTTGTGCTTGAAAAAAATGGTATCAGTGCATCCAGGAGAGTAACTGTAGCTAATGAGCCCCACAGCAACATTTTTATGGGGCCCATTGGTGACCTGTACAACTGATGTCAGCTCTTCTTGATTGAAATTGTAACATGGAGTACAGGGACAGTGAGAACAGCAACTTCAGCAATCCTTAATGGGGCCCCCTTCCATTCCCAGGCCCCATAGCAGCTGCATGGGCTGCTATGGCTATTGTTACGTCTCTGGGTGCATCCCTAATATATATTTATTTAAAAAAATCATACATTAAAACAGGGATGTACAAGTTCCAAGAGCTCCGTATGCTCCTTAAAAATGACAGCTACCTCCTAACTTTTACATTTTCCTCTAGTCTAGTCTTGGAGCTGGAAAAGTATCTGTACATGTACTTGTATTTGTACCGAGTACAGTACTTGGTATCTGAACATCCCTAGTTTGCAGGCATGCTAATTCCTACAAATAACATTATTGAGTTTATTACTAATTTTGTAGTCAATCATGGGTCAATACTGAGCGTAAACATTCTGGAGGTAGCAAGCTACCACTTAAAACTTCAGATTGTTCCCCCCATGATGAAGGTTTTTGGCTTTCTAACATGTGTATTTCCTTTTTTACAGGAACTTCCTAAATTTCTTGAAGATCTTGCAATCTCTGATGCTGATCTCCCTTGGAACAGGTCAAAGAATCGCTTTACAAACATAAAACCATGTATGTTACTAATATATTACACTTGCAGAGCATTTCATGACAGACATCCACTGATCAGTATTTAGGAAAGTTGTCAACAGTCATTTGATGAAAAAATGCTTGAAGCCCAACTAAAAGTATATTTCCACTTTTGCAGTTACATTTTAGAAATCCCCTCTACTGTATATGTTTTAGTATGTTCCTATACACACAGCATACTGAATAGCATATCTTTTAGATGTTTTGTTTCAGCAGGCAAAATGGCTGCTACCAGGTTTTTCCTAGTACCTTCACAGTCATCAGTCCTCATTGAAAGACTTAGGACTGAAATTTGAGGGTTTTGTTTCTCTCATTAATGTAATTAACATATGAATGCAGATGCCAGGGCTGTAATCCTTTAGCCCCCTCACTCCTCATAACGCCTCCTAACATAACAAAAGAAAGGTAAGCAAGAAGAAATTGTACCCCCAATTCTAAACGGCATAATCGGAATTCCTGCGACAGGAACTTTTTAAATGCCGCCTCTATCACTTGATCATTAACTTGAACAGGTGAACGCCGCTGCTTCTAAACTGCACTTTTGGTATTCTTGCCACAGAAATTCATAGGTTCCTGCCACAGGAATCCCAAAATGCACATTCACACATAGTGTGAATGAACCCTTAAGAAGACCCTAAAATCCCTAACCCAATTAAAAGCAATATAAGCTTCAGGAAGGTTTTTCTTTAGCTTATGCTATGTAAACAAATACAAAATGAATTTTGGCTGTGAAAGTTGAAACACAGTTTAAAACAGAACTTGCTATAATGGCCCCCCCCCCCCCAATATTTTATTTTTGATAAACTGGAAAAAAGTTTAGGGCCTCTGTCAGGTTTTTGTTGCTGTCTGTATCACTATTGGGATATCTCTCCTCTCTTCCTGTCTGTAATCTCCCCAGGAGTTATGCAGAAAAAACCCCCCACACTTCTTTAGTAAGATACACTATATTGCCAAAAGTATTGGGACACCTGCCTTTACATGTACATGAACTTTAATGGCATCCCAGTCTTAGTGCATAGGGTTCAATATTGAGTTGGCCCACCCTTTTCATCTATAACAGCTTCAACTCTTCTGGGAAGGGACGTCCACAAGGTTTAGGAGTGTGTCTATGGGAATGTTTGACCATTCTTCCAGAAGCGCATTTGTGAGGTCAGGTACTGATATTGGATGACAAGGCCTGGCTCTCAGCCTCCACTCTAATTCATGCCAAAGGTGTTCTATCGGGTTCAGGTCACGACTCTGTGCAGGCCAGTCAAGTTCCTCCACCCCAAACTCGCTCATCCATGTCTTTATGGGCCTTGATTTGTGCACTGGTGTGCAGTCATGTTGGAACAGGAAGTGGCCATCCCCAAACTGTTCCCACAAAGTTGGGAGCATGAAATTGTCCAGAATGAAACCCATTCCATGAAGCTCTCTACACACTGTTGTTGTGCCAATCTGAAAGCCATGCAAAGTTTGGAGGTCTGTAGCTATTGGCTCTGCAGACAGTTGGCGACTTCTGCGCATTGTACGCTTCAGCATGCGCTGACCCCGCTGTATCATTTTACGTGGTCTACCACTTCATGGCTGAGTTGCTGTTGTTCCCAGTTGCTTCCACTTTGTTATAATACTGCTAACAGTTGAGTGTGGGATATTTAGTAGCAAGGAAATTTCACGGTTAGACATATTGCACAGGTGGCAACCTATCACGCTACCATGCTGTGTCAAAGGGACAGGAAGGGAAGGAAAAATATGCCCAATTGGGTCACTGACAGAGATAAGACTTTAAGCATGTGTTACCTGAAGTGAAAACCTGCATATCAAAACAATCAGTAGATTTGGGTATAGGCAGCTAAAGTTATACAGGTGAAACTCGAATAATTAGAATATCGTGCAAAAGTAATTGCAGTAATTGCTGCAAAAGGGGCCCAAACCAAGTACTGAGTACATATGCATGCTTGTACTTTTCAGAGGTCCGATATTGTTCTATGTACAATCCTTGTTTTATTGATTGCATGTAATAATCTACTTTTTTGAGGTTGTGGATTTGGGGTTCTTGGGGTTTTCATGAGCTGTAAGCCATAATCATCACAATTATGACAAATCACGGCTTGAATTATCTTGCTTTGCATGTAATGAGTCTATCTCATATATTAGTTTCACCTTTTAAGTTGCATTAGTGAAATAAATGAACTTTGCACGATATTCTAATTATTCGAGTTTCACCTGTATGTAATTATTTACTTTTACAGAAAAATCTGGTATTTATATGGTGGAAACAATGTATACAGCTCTTTACATAGTTGCATCACATCAGTCACTGCCCTTAAGGAGCTTACAATCGAAGATTCCTAGCTCACATATGAGGGCCAATTTACCTTCCAGCATGTCTTTGGAGTGTGGGAAGAAACTAGAGTACCTGGAAGAAACCCACACAAGCACAGGGAGAATATGCAAACTCCTTGCAGATTGTGTCCTGACCAGGATCAGAACTGGGGACCCTTAGTGCTGCTAGGCAAAAGTGCTAACCACTATGCCACTGTGCCACCCACATCCCTATCCCTTCAGCCTTCAAAGCTCAAATATTACAAGGTGCTGCCAATATCTCTGAGCCTACAGATTGTTTTTGACACGCAGTTTTCACTGAGAGTAATCACTGCTGATACATTTTCTCATCATATGACCACTTTTAATTGCCAACATTTGTTACAAATTTACTTTAAAATCATTCTGATGAACAGCACCGAATACTGTGCAGGTGATTTCCAAATACTCTTAGGAGCCATTACCAATGCTAAATGTGGAGAACAACTGCATAAAGACCATCATTCAATCACCATAATTTGAAGGACATTGATTTGATTGATTGAAAATGATCTATCTTGAAAGTCTCCTGCAAAGTTAGAAATATATATTAAATTCCATCTCAAGACAAACCAAAAAACTACCCTTGCAATGGTTACCTGCTTGTTTATGCCTAGGAGATCCATGTAAAGTTCCTTTATTTACCTGATCCCCACTACTCAGGAGGACAGCGATCACCTCTGTCCCCTATGCTCTGGTTGGTGGAATCTCCCTCGGCATCTTCACATCTAATGCTGGTCTATGGTCAGTAGTAATGCGGACCTACGACTGCCGGACCAGGGTACAAGACTGTAGCGCCAGCATTGGAGTCTGTGAAAGTGGAAATTAGGTAAGTAAACTGCTTTACTCCTGTCCCCTAAGCATAAAAAAGCAGTTAACCCTTGCAGTGTGGGGGTAGTTTATTTTTTTGCTCAGAGGTAGGCTCTAAAACATGCAGTGGGATATATCCATGTCAGTGTCACTTATGGGAGTTTTACCATAGTGTGCTCTGCTTTTATGCAAACTTTTTTTTAACTGAATTTTACTATACATGACCTTTACAGCAAGTGGGGGCAATATATCAGTATAGCTTCATAAGTATTTCTCCCTAGCAAGGTTGCAAAGGCATAACTGCACAAGTTGCTGAAATCCACCACCAGAAAGTATTATTTGAGTTCAGGTGGAAATCTCATTTAGGTAATGCAGATGGTATTGACGCAATCCCTACACACCCTGACACTCTCATTTTAGATCTATTTTCTTGCCTTCTTTTTCTCTTTATTTTTTAAGCAAGACTCTGTGATAATGCAACAGGGGAATACTCGTGTGCACACATACAGTTTGGAACAGATCTACTGTTATAAGCTTGTTTCATTTAATGCTGAACATTCAGACGTTTCTTCCCCTCTCTATACTGTGCTGTCAGCAGCCTTCAAGGTTATACTTTAGACATGGGATGATTAACCTCTTGGTCATGACCCACAAAAGTTCCAGTGCCATGCATAACAGATGTTTTATCATTGTTACGTTTTTTTGCAGAGAGCACCATGTTTAGCCTAGTGGGCAAACATAAATGTTTTCAGATAGGAAAACACAAAAAAACCAAGATCTAACTTGTTTTTATCTTGTTCTCAAACTGTGTTGAGCTCTATAATCTGTAATAATGTCGCTTTCATTAAGAGATTATAATTTCTCTTCAAGAACAACTGTGTAAATGATGGTTTAGGGTTTTAAGGATGCAAGGTTTATTTTATTGATTAACTTTTATTATTTGGTTGAACTTGAAGGACTTTTGTCTTTTTTTCAACATTTGTCTTTCATACAAGTCTTGGTATCTACATGAAAGGAGCAAGTGCCTATATACATTTCATAAACACAATAGGGTCCATAATGTCAGAAACTTGCCCAATGTGATAGCACGATAATTTTAACAATTTCTGTTTTCCTAGCATGCACTACAGACTTCTAAATGGCTGTGATTGATAGATTATCATAGATAATTGGGGCAGGACAATTTGTTATTAAGCTATGCTTGCCTCTATCCCCTGGTGTAAAGATCCAGTGCAAAGTTCCTTTGCTACTGTTCCCTCCTCCCAAAGAAATTAGTGGTTTCCGATAGCCAGCAGAATGATCTGCAGTGAGCAAATTAAATTGCTTGGGTCACTTCAAGACGTCTGATCTTCATAGTAGGGAAGAAAGTTAAAACATCACATACAAGTTGCTGTTTTTTGCCACCAAATAGTAAATTGTTAATTTTTGGTGGCGATACAATTTAAGTAGTGCACACCACACTGACACAGTGGAGAAGGGTTGGTTTTACTGTTGGCATACTGATAACGCCTAAAGCCCAGCCAATTTTAAAAAAAAATCAAAGTGAAGGCACCAAATGCGGAAATGTTTGTCCATACAAAATCAATCAAGAGAACGTTACCTCTAGTATATATCTCTGGCTGCTCTGCCACCAGCTCTGCCATGGAGTATAGATCCACACAATGTTTTTCTACAAAGAAAATGTAATAGACAGTCTGCCAATCACTATGTGATGCTCTAGAGAATTCCTCCTCCATTAACATGACAATCTGTTACAGAGTGGTGAAAGGGAATGTGTACAGGGAATGTGTTAAAATCTGTACTGAAAGAAATATGTAGGCTTTCATTGC